CACCCGGGCCAAGAACCCTCCCAGGGAGGACCAGCCACAGCTTCTCTGGCCAACCTGGGACACTGTCTCACCACCCTCACACCAAAGAATTTCTTCCTCAGATCTCATCTAAACCTCCCCCCTTCCAGTTTAAAGCATTTCCCCTTGTTCTTTCACTACCTGCCCTTGTCAAAAGTCCCTCCCCAGCCTTTCTGTAGGCCCTTCAGGTATTGAAAGGCAGCTATAAGGTCTCCCCAGAGCCTTCTCCAGGCTGAGCAGAAAAGAGAAGGCTCACAGGGAGCTACATTAACATGCTACATTAACTTTACCCCATCCAAAACCAAAATTAATTCCCACATGCTAGTAGGTCAATGACTCATGAGGCTGTGACACCTTTCAGGGTGGAAAAAACCTTAAGACTTAAGGACTTGAAGTGTTTTACCAAATATGAGTCTGGTATCAAATCAGGAGTTGGTCCTAATGCAAACCCTGAAAAAACTAAATTAACTAAAACAGAAGCAGCTAGACTGCCTGGTAAATCTAGTCCTGAACTCATGTTTAGGGTATAACAAGCCTCTGTTTAACCCCAGGTCAGTGCTGACACTACATCTGTGTTTATAGCAATAAAGGAAGAAGCCATTTCTCAATCCTCACCCTGCTGGCTAGGAACACCTGCCTGAGTCGATGCAGCATAATCAATATCAGATAATAGGATTTGCATGTTTAGAAAAGCATAAGCTCTTAATTTTGAAGGAGTTTTAAGCACCTAATTCTCAGCTACCTTGAGGATTGTTAGGCACAGATATATCCAGATGCCTGCAGACTGACCTGCTCTGCTTTGCCCTTCCTGCACCAGCGCAGCCCAGCTCCTTGCCTTTTTCCAAGACATTTTTCAGCCCAGCTGAGGTTCATCCATAGTTTGTGAGCCTTCAACTCAGCCAAACGTCTCCCTAAATGCCTTCCTAGATCCCCCCATGCCCCTTCTGGTGTACACTGAAGGATCTCCCTTTAGAGTTTGCTCCAGCCCAGCCTCCACCCTGTGAAATGCCCGTTGGCAGCTGGCAACCGATGCTCTGGAGCCGCATCAGCAGTCACAGCGCTGAGCAGTGAGCGTGGCAGTGGTTTGATGACAGGCTTCAGCACACCACGGGGTAGGACTGACACCTGCCAAAAGCACTCTGGTGAGGAGAAAACCATCTCTACACTGTATGAGCAAACATGAGGGCCCTGCTCTCCTGGGACTGTGTCCCCTCCCAATGGAGAAAGAAAACAAAACCCAAATTAGCAGCTGAAGAGGTTGTTTTGTCTCCCTCGTTACGCTTATTAACCTGAAGTGTGCTACTAGCAGAGTGCAGCAGGACTTTAAGCAGCTTTTTAGTTTGATGGCATCCCTTCAGGGTTTTATTTATTGATACTTTGATGACAGGCTTTCCCAGAGCTGCAGCTGAGCCCCAAAGTACCCACCTGAATTAAACCTTGTTGTAAAAAGGAGATGCCCTGCCTGCTGCACACATTAACGCATCGAGTTCAAACTACCAACTACAGAGATACAGAAGGGATGGGGGATTTCTCCTTTAGCCTCCAACGTGGCATTTCCCTCTCTATAGTTGTGTTTCATACACTTTACAGATGACTCTTACCTCCACAGATATCCCACGGGCACTGGGTCCCATCGTGACTGTGCCCACCTTCACCAAGAAGTCACAGTACTGGTAGCGCGTACCCCGGCTCTCTATCTTGTTCGCCTTGGCATTTTGGAAGAAGCCTTTCAACTTCACCATGAGGATATCGAAGTTGGCATCTGCGATGAGGCAGGGACCATTTTCAAAGAGAGCGAAGCAGCTGAGGGGATATTCAGAGTTGTGCATCACGTACATCAGCTTGCCTGTCTGCCCTGAAATAAAATTAACAGTATTTGGGCTGTAAAACCAACAACCCTGCGCTCGGATGTGCCTTAAAGAACCATCTGGTTTTAAATTTGTCCTTCTTGTCACTTTAATCCCAGGTTTCTTGTACCACTCTGTATATTATAGAGACATTCAGTGAACAGGTTGTTCTGTTTAAAAAAAAATTTAAATTTAATTAAAACTTTAAATTTAAAATTTAAAGTTAAAGGGAAGAAAAAGAAAACCTTCCACAGCCCAAGGATAACACACCAGCAGAACTCACAGACCACGACATGAGATCCCCAGCAGACTGGTGGGAGGATCAGCAAACAGCACCCACCTCCTGTCCCCACATACAGGGTTGGGTGTCCACTGACTGTCCTCCTGCCCACGGTCACTGGAGGAAGGCTGAGCTTTTCCTCTCCTCCCACTCACCCACCAGTCCTGCAAGGGGAGGATGTGCTGGGACACGCTCTGGAAATAAAGGGTGTGCAGAGAGGATGTGCCTGGTTTGTACCACGCTTTAAAGGCTGCAAAAAATTCTCATTTATCCACATAAGTCAAAAAAAAGTCTTTCTATGGATGTGGCTGTGCAAGTTCCAGCTGAAGAACAAGCAGCAAAAAGACACTCTTGTAGCTTCAAATGGATCTGTTGGACTGAGTGGAGCCCTGAGGCTGCACAGGCTCAGCACCGACCTCTGCAGCAACCAGCAAAGATCAAAATGATGTGAAAATCCAAGTGCTGAGGAGGGATGAAGAGGCTGGGACAGCCCCTCAGGTGAGCAGGCCACGCCGTACCTCTGAGCTACTGATTTAGGACCACTTGGTGTCCTCTGAGCACATCCCCTGGAAACAGCTGGGTCATCTCATGCCTCAGACCCCCCGAGAGCTGCTCCCCACCACCCTGGGAGCCAGCGGTGCTCCCTGTCACCACCTGCCCTCCAGTGACTTGTCCCCTGGAGATGGGCACAGCAGGCAGGGGCTGCCAGGAGACTCGGACCCATCTTCTCCAGAGCAAAACGCAACCTTCAGAGCAACTCAGACAGAAGCAGCGTTTTAAGAAGTTTAATGGAAAAATATGCTGACAGCAAAGACACTGCTAAGGCTTGAGTGGGAATCCTCGAGGTGGGGTTTCTCCCCCGGCCATCCCTGGGGCAGGGTGACCGGGGTGACCCTCCCTGGTTCCCCAGGACATTCCTTCTCCCGCAGAAGAGGCTGACGGGACCGGCAGCACGCACCGTCCCTGGTGGGGATGACATTCTGCAGGCAGCAAGACGGCTGCTCCTTCCCCACG